GAAATGGTAAACGAAGCAAGTATTGAGAAAAGTCCACATGATGCGAATCAGTGAGCCAATGAGGGAAAATTGTATTTTTCCTTTTGTTTCTTAGGAAAATGAAAGAAAATTCATGATTCCTTCACAAGACAGCATTGCTTTCATTACACTGACTCTTAATTGGACTTGTCAATTTCTAATTTGATTCAGTTTCGAGTTCAATTTTAAAATTTAAATTTTTTAAAGATCCAATTATATCAAGTTTAAATATGTCCAAGTCGTAGGTCAAATTGAGTAAGATCACCTTCAAGCTTGAATCATTTTAGATTTGAGTTACTCTGAATTCAAATTATTTGATACTTTAGTATGTATCAAGTTGTGATTAATTTAATTTCCAGTTATTGGCTTTTTATTATTACATTTGAATTCGAGTTAATCAAATCAAATGTCATCTATTGATATTTATCTAAGCTTAAGAGAAGTGGGATCCGTTCTTGTATGAAGGTGAACACGTGCTCACCTTGAAATTAATACTTATCCTGTAATTTTATTTGTCATATAAAAGTTGTATGATATTAATGTGTGTACACTAAAAAATATTTTTAGATCAACTACAGGGAAAAAATAGTAAAAAAACATTACACAACTTTAACCAGAGCAAGCAACATCTTGGTAGCCTATAAATAGTCTTCCAAGTTACCCATTTCTTTGCGATTTGCGATTAACAATGGAGCTTCCAGTGATAGATTTTGCTGCACTCAATGGCGAAAAAAGGAGCAAAACAATGGCGCTCCTCAACGAAGCTTGCGAGAAATGGGGCTGCTTTCAGGTTAAGGGATCATCCATCCTTTTCTCTTTATTTCAACTCCAGATATGCTTTTCTTTTAAAAACCTTTCGTGTTTTTACAATCGCATCGAAGATTTGTAGCTGCAAATGTGATTTCAATGATGGGTTTTGTGCAGATTGATAACCATGGGATCGACAAGGAGTTGATGGAGAAGGTGAAGCAGTTGGTGAATGGTTATTATGACGAGAGTTTGAAAGGAGAGTTCTATGAATCTGAGATTGTTAGAAGCTTAAACGACAATGAATTCATCTCAGATAGGGATTGGGAAACCACTTTCTTCATTTCGCATCGTCCAAATAACAACATTCGTGACATCCCAAACATATCAAAGGAACTCTGGTGAGTTAATATTATCCTTCTACAAATATTCATATTCCACACTCGTTTTCAATTAAAAGAAATAAACAATAAATTATATAGGTTAAAATATGTTCATATTTGACACTTATATCTGAATTAAAATAACATCACTATGGTTGAAATTAATTTAAACTGAAAATAGATTGATCTGATAGTTCAATTACTATGATATAATTATGAAGAGACATTTGATCCGAACTCGACGAGTTCTGGTCCAACCTGATCAGCTTTAATTTTTTTTTAAAATTTCGAGTTGGGTTTTTTGAAGGATGGGTCAAGTTGGGTTGGATTTAGGTTTAGAGTGTAAAACATCAAACTCGACATGAGATAATATTACAATTATCTCTTATATATTTAAAGATAATCGTAATAATACCTCTTTATATATATATATATATATATATTGAAGTTCTTTATTTTACTTAATATATATATAGGTCAAATCAGGTCATTTACAAAGTTTAACCTCAAAAATAAAGTTTGAGTCTAATGGGACTCTCCTAAAGCCGAGTCAAATGGTTTAGGAGGATAAAAAATTTGACCCGGCTCATGATTATCCTTAGATATTATCATATTTCTAAAGAATGGCTTGAACCGATTTATATATTAAAAATTATTATAAAAAAAACTGAATAAACCAACTTGAATAAGTTTTTATATATATATTATATAGACAGACCCAATGTAAAACACTTTAAAGGTGACTTTAATATCAAAAGGGATCGAATTAGAATTAAAGGGGTGTAATCGAGTCAGAATTAAAAGTTGATCTAATACAGAGATGTAACTTCTATGGATGCTCTAAGAACATGATTTATTGGTGACTCAGAAATGATGAATGTTTTTACAGTGAAACAATGGATGAATACATAGCACAGCTGCTGAAACTAGCGGAAACTCTCTCCGAACTCATGTGTGAGAATCTAGGGCTGGACCAAAATCACATAAAGCAAGCCTTCTCAGGCACCAAAGGCCCATCCGTGGGAACGAAAGTGGCGATATACCCTCAATGTCCTAACCCGAACCTCGTGAGAGGTCTCCGAGAACACACCGATGCGGGAGGTATCATATTGTTGCTCCAAGATGACCAAGTCCCGGGCCTCGAATTCCTGAAAGACGGACAATGGCAGAGGATTCCCCCGTCGAGAAACAACACCATCTTCGTCAACACGGGCGACCAGCTTGAGGTGTTGAGCAATGGGAGGTACAAGAGTGTGTTGCACCGTGTGATGGCCGAAAAACAAGGAAGTAGGCTTTCGATTGCTACGTTTTATAACCCCGCTGGTGATGCGACGATTTCTCCGGCTCCGAAATTATTGTATCCTGGTGGTTATCGTTTCGGAGATTACTTGGAGTTGTATTCGACCACAAAGTTCTCGGAGAAGAGACCGAGATTCGAGTCAATGAAGATGATGACTAATGGTCATCATTGATCTCCATGTTTAGGAGTACTGAATACTTTGATTGCTTAACACTTTTATGTTTTTTGTTGCTTTGTTTCCTACATAAAAAAGATGTATTTCCACTTCTCCTTTTTTATCATGCATGCATGGAAGGAAGGTTGCTTTCTTTCTATGATTCCAATATAAGGAACATGGCAAAACTTTCGAGATAATGTTCTGGAAAAAATTAATTCAGGAGATAAAGCACTCCCAAGATTAATTGCTTAAATAAGGTGAAATCCACAGTGTTGGCCGTAGGTCGCCATGTCTTCCCGGCGAGCTACAAGAGATTGCATGTGCCATGCACGTCCCAACACGCTGGGCATCCGAGGCCATCCGACCGAGGCCATCCGAACGAGCTATGCGAGGGAATCCGAGGGCAACCGAGCCTACCCTCGCTCGGTTGCCCTCGGATTCTCTCGCATAGCTCGCTCGGTTGCCCTCGGATGCCCTCGCATAGCTCGTTCGGATGGCCTCGGTCGGATGGTCCGGATGCCCAGCGTGTTGGGACGTGCATGGAACATGCAATCTCTTGTAGGTCGCCGGGAAGACATGGCGACCTAGTAGGTCGCCCAGAAGGCATGGCGACCTACGGCCAACACTGTGGATTTCACCCTATTTGAGCAATTAATTTTGGGAGTGCATTAGCTCGTGAATTAATTTCTTTCAGAACATTATCTCGAAAGTTTTTCCGAAAGAACATATATGTTTTTTTTAGAGTTAATTGTATCACAAATCCTTAAACTATGACCCTCATTCTAAATTAGTCCTCAAACTTTTGAATATTTCAATTTCATCTTCAAATTATGACTCTCATTCTAAGTTAGTCTCTAAACTTTTGATCATTTCAAATTCATCCCCAAACTATGACACTCATCTAAATCGGTACCCAAACTTTTGAATCTTCCAATTTCGTCCCCAAATTCATCCATATATATAATTAGTTTCAACCATAGATTAACCCATTTTTTCAAACATATAATAGTATAGCTTGGCCTAATAGTTTTTTTGACATAATATGTCATTAGCATATATCGATAGTTTGGAACGAAATTGAAATGTCGAAAAGTTTGGAGATGAATTTAGAACAAGAGTCATCGTTTGGGGATGAAATTGGAATGTTAAAAAGTTTGAGGATTAATTCAGCATGAAAGTCATAGTTTAAATATGAAATTATAACGTTCAAAAGTTTAGAGATCAATTTAAAATAAGAATTATAATTTGAGGATGTATAATGCAATTAATTTTTTTATGATTTTAACTTTGAAGCATAAACCCTATGCAGTATGCATGTGATGCGTGATTGAGCATGGTTTTTGGGTTACGAGTTTGAACTTTGCTTAACGCTAAATCAAGAGATTTGAAACAAAGTTCAAGGATTCACCCGATTGTTCATACATAATTTTAATATCTTTAATTCTATTCGTTCTACTATTTATTAATTATATGACATTTTAATTTATCGTGATAACGAAAAATATCCTTCAACGCACATGTTAAAAATTTGTAAACAAAAAAAATATAATTAAGATAACATCAACATAAAACAAGATACAGATAAAAATCGAGATTTAATATGATTCGATCTTTCTTACCTCTACAGATGAGATTGTAAATTGAGTGGTGAAAGTTGAAACTGCATTACTAGCCTCGTTGAAACTTATATACAAGCTGTCCCAAACTTTTCTAAAATTGTGTACCATAACACCCCACGTAACTAAAGTAAGCACACCATTGGAACAAAGAGAATAATAATATATCATCAATCAGACTCTCAATTTCTCTTCCTGATTTAGAAATGAACATATAATTTTATATTAAAAGATGAAATATATAAAATTTTATAATACGTATTATAGCAACAACAAAAAAACTACTGTTCCCGTCAACCTCTCCCATAATCGGTGCACTCACCCCTTTGGTTCATCAAAGATTTGACATCCAAAAAGCAATGAAAACGATGAATGTGATACATGGGAGAATATGCTCTCTTTTTTTATCATTTGATGGTGGAAAAGATGTGATCTCTTTGACAAAATATGGAACTTTAGGCTCTATTCCACAATTTGTCTGATTCCATACATGGGGTATAGAATCAATAAAGCCCTATTAAGCAATATATATATACTATGCCATTCCTTTTACATTTTTAATATTATATATATATATAAATAAATAAAATAATTTAGTATATCTATATCAGATATAGTGGAGAGAGAAAATATTTCTGCAAATTCCTGGATTCTTGGTGGGAGGAATTGAAAGAGTCCATGATAATATTCTGAAGTATTTGTTTCTATTTTGTTTAACTAAACTCAAATTACTCTAAAACTAAGGTAATATTTCAAATTTTATCTTATTTTGATTTTATTTTTTTATAAAAAAAATATGTTATCTGTTTTGATATTTATATTTATCAAATATTTAAAGTTTATATCATTTTGGTGGAATTTAATTTTTTATAAAGAAAAATAGATTTAATATAAAAAATAAAATCCCATCAAAATCATTTCTTAATTTTGATATTGACTATGCACATAGATTTAGATATATATATATATTTAATTAAGGGAAATGAAAAAATATTCTTAAAAAATGATTTATAGATTTCATAGATTTATTTTGATAGGTGTAAAAGAGTGGGACACACAAGGATAAAAAAGGAATATAAATGTTGTTATTTGTTTAATTTTCTAATAGAACATTTTGAATGAGATAATTTTAAAAATCAAAATTGACACATTTAGTGGGACGAACTATATTAAGTATGCTACGGCGCTACCCATCCCTATTTAACACTTATCTTTAACAAAGTAATTACGTGAATTTTTACTAGGTTTAATCTTACTATTAAGGTTAAAGATGGGCATTTGATTCGAATTTGATTAGTATTGATCTAATTTGATTCGATTTAGGACTATCTAATGAGTTTTGGTCAGGGTTTATCCAAGCTCTGCACTGAGATCTGTGGGTAAATGTTAACATTTCTACTTCCCTTGGAGATTTTCTTTTTGATACCGTTTTCTGGACCGGCCGTGAAGAATCCAAGCTGGGTTGGTTTGAATTTTCTTAGAAGGTACCTAACACAAATATATAAGGTATTTTCTCTGCTTTTGAGATCTGTGTGGAAAATTTAGATAATAGCAACAAAACATCTCTTCATTGCAATCCCTTCGTCGTCTTGTAATTTGCTTACGGTTTGCATCGAGATCTGGGTTTAGTTGTTCATAGAAACCTTCAACGGTTACTCTCTTTTTTCCTTACTTTTTCTTCTCTATCCTCTGCTCTTTTATGAACTCGGTAAGTTAAGTTAGATCTGTTTATCATCTTCTGTGGATCTTCTGAGATTTGAGTCCATCATTAGTCTTTCTGCATTTAGATCTGAATTCTGCTTGTGCGTTTGTGTTTCTTTTAATCGAAATCAACGATTTTAAGTGAAAAAGATAAATCCTTACATTTTATTATTAGAAGAATCTTGAAGTTGTTTTATTGATTATTAGTTCTGAAAGCATAAACTCTTATTATTGTGGCTGTTGATTATTGAAAAATCTGGTTATTGTGCAAGTCCAAATATTCATGTCATAAATTATTATTGCATTGAAGGTTTTAACGAACTCAACATTTTTTAGCGTAAATTATAAATTTAGTACCTAGAAAATTTGTCTGCGATTTGGTCTTTTCTCTTTCAAATATCTGTCAATTTTGTTTTCTAGTAAAGTTAATTTTCTTTGTTCGTAGCAGATCTAATCCTATTTTTGCTTCCTTATTTCTTTTATTATCCTAGACTCCTAGTTTCTTATACCATTACCGATATTTCAAATTGAGTATAACTGTTATAAAGGTTTGATTTTTTGTGTTATAGCACGATTTTTATCAGATTTTTATCTGAACAAAGATTGTTAATTTCGCATCCACGAATTTTGATATATCTCTTTTAGCTCTGTCGTTGTTTTGCATATCCCTTGCATATTTTTGTACTTAATATTTCTTAATCTTGTTGTTGTTGGATCTGCTTTCTTTGACTTAACTTCTTGCTGTTTTTTCTCTTGTTTTTATACTGATCTTTTTTTACCAGCTTTGGGTTTGATGTTTTTCAATTAGTTGAGTAGGATTTCATTACTCTTATATCTCGTGTTACAATTTTAATCCTTTTTTGCTTAGCTCGAATATTTATTGAACATTTTAAATTATAGTTTCTAGATATTGGCCTATAGTTAAATAAGATAGTATTATTTTTCCTTAAAATCCTATTAAGTAACCAACTAGGATTTTTAGTTCTCCTCAATTCTCTAGCGTTTTATTAGTGCATCTTCTGTCTTATTTGGATTCTTTTTTCATAGTTTCTCATAGCTTCGGTTACAGATGATTACTTGAGGTCATGTCATTCTTTTAGATCCCATGGGGCGTATAGGGGGAGGGCTCGACAGAGTGGTGACAATGAGACTAGATTAAGAGTTTGCTCGCTGAATGTAGGCACATTAAATGCTAGGCTGCTGGAGCTGACCGACGTACTTAATAATAGAAAAATTGATTTTGCTTGTATTCAGGAGACTAGGTGGAAAGGGTCTCGCGCCAGAGAGTGTAATGGGTACAAGTTGTGGTATTCAGGCGTAGATAACGCTAGAAATGGGGTGGGTATCTTGGCATCCTCTAGGCTCAAGGAAAATGTAGTTGAAGTTTGCAGATACCGGGATAGGATCATGATGATTAAGGTTATTATAGAAGAGGAAGTAGTGAATGTCCTTTCAGTGTACGCCCCACGTTGGCCTAGGGGAGGGGGAGAAACGTTGCTTCTGGGATCAGTTAGATGATATACTTAGGAGCATTCCGGAGGACCAAAGAGTTTTCATAGGGGGAGACTTCAATGGCCATATAGGAAGTGCAACTGACGGGTATGATGGTGTTCATGGGGGTTTCGGTTATGGTAGCAGGAACGATGGAGGGCGTACGTTGCTTGATTTTGCTACTGCTCACGATTTGGTGATCACTAACTCCTTCTTTAATAAGAGAGATGCGAACTTGATTACGTTTCATAGCGGGGGACATTGTACCCAAATCGACTACATCTTGATTAGAAATCAGGAACGATGGGCTTGCATTGACTGTAAGGTGTTCCCTGAAGAGGCATGTGCATCACAACACAAATTGTTGGTTTTGGTGTACCGCGTTCCCCACGGGCGGAGCACTCATAGGAGGGCTAAACTTGGTAAACCTAGGATCCTCTGGAAGAACTTATATGGAGCGACAATTGATGACTTTAGGAGTAAGGTTTTGTCTAATACAAGTTTTGAAACTACAAACTCAAAAAATGCAGATATGTTATGGAAAAATATGGCAAATTCCATAAGAGACGTTGGTAAAAATACCCTTGGGTTGTCGACGGGGAAGGCCAAGGAACATAAAGAATCGTGGTGGTGGAACGACGAAGTCCAAACTAAGGTGAAGACAAAACATACTTGCTTCAAGGAGTTTCTACAATGCAATGACGACGAAGAAAGGTCGAGAGCTAAACAAAGATACCAGGAGGCAAAGCGGGAAGCCAAGAAAACGGTAGCTAAAGCAAAGGATAAGGCATACGAGGAAATGTACAAGAGATTAGACACCAAGGAAGGACAAAATGGCATCTTCAGACTTGCAAAATCTAGGGAGATTAGGAAAAAGGATCTATGTAACATTAGGTTTATTAAGGACAACAATGGTGTTCTTTTAGCGAAAGATCACGATATTAAGAGGGTTTGGGGTAGTTACTTCTTTGGCTTATTTAATGACGGTGCCTCTCCATGTAGAGATAGTATCGTTGATGGTTTAGCCGACTATCATACTACGGCCAATGACTGCCCTACAAGTAGGATTGGGTTTGAGGAAGTCAAAATGGCTCTTAGAAAGATGGGAAGGGACAAAGCTGTCGGTCCTGATCAAATTCCTATCACTGTGTGGTTGGCCCTAGGAGAAGAGGGAGTTAAGTGGTTGACCAACATCTTTAATATTATTTTAGAGACTGCCAAGATGCCAGAGGAGTGGAGAGAGTCTACGGTGATACCAATCTATAAAAATAAAGGAGATCCCCAACGTTGTGGTAACTACAGAGGTATTAAACTCCTCAGCCATACCATGAAGCTATGGGAAAGGGTGATAGAGGCTAGGTTGAGACAAGTTACTAGGGTTTCGGAAAACCAATTTGGCTTTATGCCAGGCAGGTCTACCACGGAGGCGATTCATCTACTTCGACGGCTTATGGAGAAATATAGGGAAAAGTCTAGAGATCTTCACATGGCGTTCATTGACCTTGAGAAGGCTTATGATAGTGTTCCCCGCGATACGATCTGGAAGACTTTGGAAACGAGACGGATCCCAACTGCTTATATCCGGGCGATTCGTGATATGTATTATAGATCTACTACTTACGTCAGGACTACAGTTGGCGACACCGAGGCATTCCCGGTTGAAATCGGACTCCACCAGGGGTCGGCTCTTAGCCCTTACATCTTCGCCTTGATTATGGACGACATCTATTGTGCGACACCAGACGGTGTACCATGGTGTATGCTTTTCGCTGACGACATTGTCTTAGTTGCTGAAACAAAATATGAGTTGAATAGTAGACTGGCTACCTGGAAGACTGCTTTGGAAGAAAAAGGTTTAAGGATCAATATTGAAAAGACAGAGTATTTATGTTCAAACTTCAATGGGAACCAAAACGATGAAGATGTAGAAGTATGCATAGAAGGACACGTTCTCCCCTCAAAGGATTGTTTCAAGTACCTAGGGTCTATGATACATAAAGATGGGGGTGTAGATGATGACGTTACACACCGTATAAAGGCGGGATGGCTAAAGTGGAGGGCCGCTACTGGAGTTCTGTGTGACAAGAAGGTCCCTCTAAAACTTAAGGGAAAATTTTATAGAATGGCAATAAGACCAGCGCTGTTGTATGGATCAGAATGTTGGGCAACCAAGAAGGATCACGTAAGGAGGATTGAGGCCGCAGAAATGAGAATGCTTCGATGGACATGTGGTAGGACTCTGAGGGATATGACGACAAACTCTGCTATTAGGATGTCCTTGGGGGTGGTGTCTGTTTCCGAAAAATTGAGGGAGGGAAGACTACGGTGGTTTGGGCATGTCCTTAGGCGACTACCGTCGGATGCGTAAGGAGGGTAGAGTCGATTACAGTCGACGGTGCCAGAAGGAAAGGACGACCAAGGCGAAAGTGGGAAGACTGCTTGAGATCTGATTTGAGGGATTTAGCCCTTACCGAAGACATGACCTCTGATAGGAAAATATGGAGGCTAAAGACTAGGGTAGTCGAGTAGTGTGGGTCACATCTATAGGGTGTATCATTTCTGTCTTCTTTTAATGTCTTTGTAGTATTTTCCATGACTTATACTTTTTATACGTTTCTGTTATTGGTATTTATGAAAGATTAGAACTGGGCTTGCTAACGTTGACTTCTGTGTATCATTCTCTTCATGTTTCCTCTTTTAAATTTAGCCGGATCTTATGTTTCTGTCTATATGCAGAGATTCTTTCGCAGGGATATTTATGCAGGGATTAATTTCCCGTTACAGACGCACATATGATTTTAATGACTGCATATGAATACTGTTTTAGCTATGTATTTATGTATTTATTTATACATGCATTGCATTTTATCTAAATTTTTAATTTTCTGACTGCCGGAGGTCTTCCACGGAAGCTACTCTCAACCTGGCGTTGGGGGTAGCCTACTACCCTACCTCCCCCTTACCCCATACATATGGGAATTGGGTTTTGTTGTTGTTGTTGTTGTTGTAATGAGTTTTGGTCAGATTAAATCAAATATTTTTAAGAAAATAAGATTAGATCAGACAGGGTAAATAAAAATTTAAAATTTATGGGAAAAAGTGAAATATGAAATGAAAGGCTCGTCGTTTTCTTTACTCTGCATGCATGGCATGTATGGCTGTTCATTCGTTTTGCTGTAGTAAATTCATGTATTTAAATTCGCTAGGTGGTTCCTTTAATATATGTTTTTCCAATAATGTATTATACTTTACAATTCAAATGAGATTTAATAAAAAGAAAAAATTTCTTCTTAAATATTCAGACATAAATAACTTTATTTATAGATATATTTAAATTTATTTAAATTAAAATCCGATACTAATATTACTTATAATCGTATTAGAATGTTTAGAAAATGAATGCAATAATTCTTGTTCATTTAGCCATATTTGGATAATTAAAATTACATGGTATATCTCTATATTTAAATAGATTAAATTGTTGAACTCATTATGTAATTTTAGTAGTAATGTTTTTTCTTTAAATGATTTGTGTTATCGACGGATTAAATGATTAAAAACAATAAAAGAAATAAAACCAAAGCCAAACAAGTTGTTTAATCCACAAAGACAAAAATTATTACCATGCAAACTTTGTAAAGAACCCTAGCACTTATTCTCAGCAGATGAGCCGTTGACAATGGTCTCCATCTGTATGGCAGGTTTCGGGTTCCTCGGCTTGTACCACACGGCACAAACAAGATACAGTACAAAGTTTATGATCCCCAGAACTGCTAAAAGTCCATAGAAGCAATCAAGTCTCCCATGGTTTATGTTATCAGCCAGCCATCCTTGCCCACCATTGCTTCCTCCGGTTACTCTCTTCACCACGGATACCAAGAAGCTGCTGACGAAGAAACCGAGCGATAGCGTCGTGAGGAAGAGGCCCGTGCTCATCGTTTTCATTCCTTTGGGGGATTGAGTGATGAAGAAATCGAGTTGGCCTGTGTATATGAAGGCCTCGCCGGCTCCAACTAGGAAGAATTGTGGAATCAGAAAGAACACGCTTATAGGCAGCGTTGTCGTCGTGGTACCGGTGGTTCTAGCCACCGACAATCGTTTCTCCTCGGCTAGTGCTGCGGCTGCCATTCCGAACGATGATAGGACTAGGCCAATGGCAATTCTCTGTAAGTTGGTGAAACCTGTTGCGGGAAAATGGTGATTAATTAATTAGGAACATTGAAACAATTATCTGTAGCTACTTGGGAAGAATTTTAGGTGTCACATGCTTACCTGGTTTTCCTTTCCATTTCTTCCAAACCGGCATGATGAGCCGGTCGTATACGGCGAGGGTGATCAATATCGCCACGACGAAAAAGACGGTGAGGGAACCAGCAGGAATTAGGAAACCTCCAATTGATCTTTCCATGGTGGACGCTTGCTCCACTGAAAAAGTGATCATCTGTGCATAAGTGGTCCAAAATATGATGGTTGTGGCCCATATTGGCAAAAGTCCCACCATCATCTTGACCTCTTCCACCCGTGTCACCGAGCAAAGTTTCCAAGGATTCGGAGCTGAAACAACGACATTTCTTTCGAAATCGCCTTCGGCAACAATTGCTGCCTTGTCCAAGAAGCTAGGGTAACAAAAACAAAGAAGTAAGTGATTAGGTATAGTATTTATTGATTAGTCCCATGCAAACATTGAAGAGCAATGAAATAAACTCACTGGAATTGATCTGTGTGATGAATTCTTTGAGCTTCCGGGGTATCCTCATACAGTAATTCAACAGCGTAAGGGAATTCCATCTTCCTTTTGTTTATTGCAGCGACAATAACTTGGAAAATCTGAACTATTGGACTTCCTGAACTTTTCTTGTATCTGTATCTTTTAGTCCCTGATAAGAATATCAAGATGGCTACAAGCATGGAAACACAGCAGATTCCGTAACTCCAGCTTCGACCGACTTCGTCTTGTAAGTAGACGAGCACGGTAACCGCGGTCAGGGTTCCGATACTGATGAAGAAGAAGAACCTGTTGAAAAAATAGGTCATTTGGGCTTTCTCCTTCTCATCTTTCTCATCGAATTGATCAGTTCCGAATCCGGAGACACTTGATTTCAGGCCACCTGTGCCTAGTGCAATTAGATATAAGGCCATGTATAAAATCCCCATCTGAAATCCATTTGCTGGTTTGCATGTATGGGATTCCGATGCATGGCACGGTGGCGGGCGTAACTGTGACAGCTTTGTAGCTATTGCTAATGCCCCAGTCCCCTAAAAAATGATCACCATTATCATCATTCATCACAGATCAAAAGCTGAACATGCAGCACAAAAGATATTGAAAATTATAAACAATTCTCTTCTTAAATACACACCAGTGTCTGTATGAAGGAAAAGATGGCGATTGTCTTGTACCGGCCGAAGAACGAATCAGCAAGAAAGCCTCCGAGCAAGCACAAGAGGAACGATGTGCCCATGAAATCTGTTACAACATTGGCCGATGTTGAACTCGGCAAATACATCACCCCAACCAAGTATGTCACAAGGTTAACCGCTATTCCCATTGTTGAAAGCCTCTCACAGACCTCAATCCCTATGAAATCATTCCAAAGTTATATTTTCCTTTTCTTCTTCATATATGAAACAGTAAGAACTCAAAGAAAGCGTATGATTACTTATTAAGTATAGTATAATTAAGTAAAAAAAAAAAAGGAAACCCTTTTTTCGCTGTTTTTGGGCGGATAAGGAATGTTAGAAGAAAGCGAAGCCTATAATGTTGTAAAAGTGAGTAATATTAAATACCACAAAGAACTATAGTGGCAAGCAGATTGACTTTGAGGACATCTCAATAATTCAGAGCCTTCTACATGCATGATAAAGATCTTCCTTATCCAATCTCCAATCAGAAAATGACATGACATTTAATAATATTCGAAGTAATAATATGTAAAAACCGGTTTGACCGCGCTCAAATATAGTTTGGATCTCAACATCTACAACCCTTTCCTCTTATCTATAGAAGGGTATCTTGTATTACTTCTGGATCTCCTAACTTTTTGCTTATGTTCATGGTGGTTGATGTAACAAACATACCTAGGACGAGTGCAGCCGGAACCCAACCACCGGTTTTCAGCCTGTCAGCGGGGAAACCCTTGTAGTCCACCGCGTCGGCCACCGTCCAACTCATCTTCCCTTCCTGGAAATACATGAACAAAACATTTTCAGAAGCTTTGATTAATACAATACAATGTTTCATAGTGTTAATGGAACTCAGAGAACTGACCATTTTTTCTTATATTCAACAAATGGAAGAAGAAAAAAGAGCACAGCAATGCTGAAAAGGGGAAGACAAGAGAGAAGTATATGTTGAAAGAAGGCTTTAAACTTATATGTTAACTTGAACTCACAACTTGGATGTGTTTTGGGAACTAGCTTCCCCTTTTATAGGCAACAAATCTAACAAATAAATGAATAATGTTGAAGTTAATAGGTACTCTCCACTAAGTAATTGAGACAGATTATTGCTCATGTTTCTTGATATAAATTAAAGGTAGGGATTAGGTTTATCAAGTTATGAGTGGAAAGGTTGTACCACTGATTAAAACCATTTTTTTTTCTTCTTCTTTTTTTAGAAAATAAATATGGAATTTTAAAGGTGATGATGATTGAGGGTGGTTAAGATGAAAATTGGAATCAGGAACACTCAAAAACCAATATATAATCTTCAATCTTTAGTATTGAAATTTGTGTGAAAATAATGAACCATAGGCAGCTTTCATTAGTGCATTTGATGCCCCCTCAAGCCCCCCAAAAGGCTCCCTTGACCCTTAACCTTTTGTTTTTCTGCATGGAAAAAAAAAAACAGAAACCAGCAGTGACTTGAAAAAGTTTCACAGAAAAGGAGAATTTAGAGCATGTTTTACTAACCCTTTTTATTTGGCATATGAAAACAAGGGAAAAGAAAGCAAACTTTTCCCTGAAATGCAGCCAAAAGATAATGGGGTATGAGAAACGTTTCACGTTGTAACACAGACAGTGTGATCCTTTCTGTTTGACATGAAAACAATGTTTCAGCACTGCATAAATGATGGTTCTTTAAGCTTCCCAATGGTCGATTTCAATGGAAGAAAACGGTGTAGCCGACTTTCTTTGCAGGGAGAATGAAGATCACAGATGTATCAATCAAGAAATTGCTTCTATTTAGATAAGATTATATATAGTTTTACAGAAATCTGTCATGGGATCATATAGATCAAGCCCTTTTGTTGCTGCAAATGAAAAATTAAAGATACCTTGACCTAAAAGTGAAGTAAAATGGGATTAAATAGGTTTGATAAATACCTATTTTTAAAAATTTTAATTTTTTAATTTTAGGGTTTGTTAAAGTTGAACCTATAACAAGCTAAGATTTAGATACCTTTCAATCAACATGAATATATGTTTGTCAGTCCTACCACTATATGAAGACATTATTGAAGACTCAAATACATTGAGGGGGAGGGGGATGCTTAAAATCGACGTTGACAATAACAATAATTATTGTTCAGTAGGGTCAAGCAAAGTTGACAAAGAACTCATCTCTATCCCTCACACGTGCATAAACACAGAAACAAATGCCGCCCAAGTGCACCGCACGTGCAGGATGGTACTCGAATTATGTGATAGATCTAAAAATATTTTTGAGAATAAGAACACACATATATAAATAGTTTAAGGTGATTACAAGCTAGTATATATATAGAATATTTCTTAATAATTGACAACGTACACAGATCATGTAGACGTAGCTGCTTAAATTCATGATTTCTAAGAAAAATAATACTCTCTTTTATCATTGAGATCGTTTGAGGATTCATACACATGTATTAACACCACAAAATGGGTAAATACAAATAAATTTTAAAGTGAGTACAATAAATACATAAATAACCAACAAAAGAAAATTTAGATTTTAGGATATACTTGCCTATCTTAAACATAAGGTGAATCCGCTACAGCTCGAGCTTCACACGTGCGATTGAATTATATGCACGCGTACCAACAGACACCACTCAAGAAACTGATCAAACCCACCGGCCATTGCTGCCACATGGTTCATGAAAAAGAGACTTTCCACTTCATGTAAGGCCAAATGTGACCCATAACTAGACAATACCCTCCCTCCCATGGGACCCCTTTCCCTTCCCTCTTCCACTATCAATTCAAGGATTTGTATAATCTCAGTTGGCTTGTTTTTTCTCAGGCATATGCCACAGAATCCACAACCACCCCCATATTGTTTACATGATCTTTTGGCCACTTGTTTCCAGGAATGGTATGCGGTCGCCCTAAAAATTTTAAATTATTTTATTAAAATTTTATTTTTATTCTTCTTAAAATTGTATAATTTTTTTATTCTTAAAATTAAATAAATTCATCATTTTTTAATATAAAATCTTACATCCGTCACTAGTTGTGCGTATTTAGAAATGCTCCCGTAAAGGAAAACAATAACATGGGAATGGACTAGTTTCAGTTGTTGTTCCAACATGCCATGTAGTTAGTTCCCCCCTCAATTATGGTTGAAAGCATGGGCACTTAGTTCAAACTTGAATGTCAAACAATAATATTCCCACTTTTTCAAAATTTTAATCAGTGCCAAGAAATGATTTTTTTTAATAATGCCCAAAAAGAGTTCACCAGTTAGTGTAACCAAGGGTGTCTGTATGCCATAAATTCAACCAAATGAATGATTCTCCATTATGTTTGAAATGGGAAAATTTGAAGAAAACAAGAGACATGCCACTTTACCAGGAGGACTTCCAATAAATGTATGCCAGCTTTAATCCAAGTTAAGTGCTTAACGCGGTTTAAACTTTTTGGCTACATTTCGAATCTAATTTTTTTTTTACTTCCTTTGATTCACTGGTGTAGAAGTATTTTCTTTCAAATATAAATAGTGAAGAGGCCAAAAGTAAAGAGAAAAGCAATATGTTTCGATTTTACGATGATCACAAAATAGAGATTATAAATTAGACCAGGATAACATCGAAGTTTTAATTTCAATTTTATTAGTTTTGAAGAGAATCAAACTAAGTAGAAAAAATACGAGAGAAAGAAAAAGTTTTGATACCATCTAGTTCACAAACAATGGTCGATGTTACCATATAGAGTGATAACAACAAGTAATATCGTATGAGCAATGACAACGAAAAAAGAGAAAGAAAATAAGACGTCAAGATTTACGTGAAAAATTATAATAGGGTTAATAAACTCATATCTAACCTCTGGTTCATATGATCGGTTTATAAGGTTTGAAGAGGTTATCTTCATCACAAAGGTTATCTATAATTCCAATAAAATATGTTTCCAAATTATGATTTTTATTTTAAATTGATCATCAAATTTGAAATATTTCAATTTCATTCTCAAATTATGGTTCTTATTTTAATTTAGTCTTTAAACTTTTGAAAATTCCAATTTCATCCTCAAACTATGCCCCTAATTCTAAATTGGTCAACAAATTATTAAATCTTCTAATTTCACCCCTAAATTCATCCAAATATGTAATTAGTTTCAAGTTTCAACCATGGTTTAACCTAAATTTTATTTTGTCAAACATATAATAACATAGCTTGGCCTAACAATTCTATAAACAAGATATGTGATTAATACATAATGATAGTTTGGGATGAAATTGAAATGTTTAAAAGTTTAGGACCAATTTAAAATGAGGATCATAATTTGAGGATAAAATTGAAATATTTAAAATTTAGAAACCAATTTAGAATAAGAATCATAGTTCGAGGGTGTGTGATCAATTAATTCCTATACATTTATAAGGTTACTTACCGATAAGAAAACATCTAATATTATACGGAGTCTTTATATGATTTCTTTTCTTTCGGTCAAAAACTAATAAGAGAAGTGTAGTCCTATACGGATCGAGTGTGCACGTTAAGGATTATCATTTTACATTTAATTTATATATATAATTTAAATATTTATAAGATAATTCTGAATTATCCTTTATTTTTAAAAAAGTTATACTTTACCCCTCTCAAGTTGAGAATTGAGATCCTATCTCTGCGTATCTCTTAGTTTATTTCTTGACTTGCCTTTTAGTTTACATGCGTAAAAGCAGTGCTTAATAAACAACAATATCATAATAACTGGCTAATGCTGAAAGATTTTCCCCCCATGCACACAGCTTTGGATCAGATTGTTTTAATGAGATTCGCTACTTAAAGTTTGTTGGATATATAATAATTGATACTTCTCTTTTTCAGCATTTATGATTAAATTGTAATGCCAAACAAGTCGTGTTTAATGCGAATGGTTTCACAAAGCTGTAGTAAATGAAGCCATTTCACGATTATTGTTTGATTTATAAATAGAATATTTGGGTTTAAAACATCATCAATAGAATTTTTAAATATGAAAAATCATGTATACAGGGTTCGAGCATAAAGTATGTAAGCACTTCTTTATGCAAAGAGTTGAACAAGAACGGAAGTTTTTATGAGCATGAGAGTTTTAATTTCACTTAAACATAATTCCCTCTCTAAATGTAATTACTTGAAATGTCTTTATTAAGGCTTATGGCATGCATGACAAGGGAGCAGAAGCCTTGTAGTTGTTCAACCATATGGTCAAGGAAGTCAAGCCTAATAACGTAACTTGTATTGCTATACTTGTAGCATGTAGTCACTAGGGGATGGTAAGTGAAGGCCTTGTTGTAAAATAATAGATTTTTTTGAGATTTTGAGGCATATTATTTATCGATAAATTATAAATTTAAATAATAAAATCATAGTTTTGTATTCGATTTTATGATACATGTACAACGGTGTATAATATGTTTGAAATGATAGAGTGATAAATGGTAAATTAATGTTTAAAGTAAACCATATATGAATACTGTTGATGAAAATTTAATATCTTAAAACATTTTCATCTCATACGAGAATAATATGAAATTTGGAAAGTATTTATAAGATAAAACCAATTTGTTACCAAGTGTGCAAGCCAAAAAGCTCTATCTTGTGCGTAGGCGCAGGGTGTAAATCAATCTCAATTGCAGTTAATAAGAGTAAATCCATACAATATAAAACTATCTTTATTGTATTTCAGAAATATACATCCAATATTCTCAAACGCCAATATAAGGATTAAATTTGTCTTCTTTATATAAATCTCAACAAATCCTTTTACCAGTTACCAATTCCACGTGAATTATTTTATACATTTGGAGTCATCACCCTACTATCAAATATCCTATACTCAAGTGAACCTTGAGAGATTCGGAGATTTCTTTCCGAAAACTCCTCATTTTCTGTTTTAGATTAACATCTTTTTACAATAATATTATTCATTTTTAATTATTATCATATTATTGCTTATTTATTTCTAAGTTCAATAACAAGCATGAACATGTTTTAGAAGATGAAGGATGGGCATGGGGTCTATCCTACACCGGATCACTATGCTTGCATCGTCGATATGCTTGGTCGAGCAGATCAAGTTGAGGAAGCACATCAATTAATCAATGACATACCTTCCGAATTGGGCAAGGCTTGTGCTTGGAGTAGTTTGCTCGGTGCCTATCGGATCCACCAAGAAGACGAAATCGGGGAAATTACAGATATCGGAAAATGATGAAAGAAATGGGCTAAAGATGATAAAATGGTTGATATCTGGAATTTCCAAACACAAATCCAAGGAAAAAAGTTTGAATGGTCGATCAAAATATAAAATAATACATCCAAATTCCAACGAGTTACATCAACAATTCCGGAGAAAGCAAATTATGATCAGAAGTCCTCTAATTTCAGTCATTCTATTAACTAAAAACAAAGCAAACATGCTACTCTCACCTCTAGTCCTCCTAGCAAGCTGGATATCCTTCGGCATAATCGTAACCCTCTTAGCATGAATAGCGCAGAGATTAATGCCATCAAACAGTCCGACGAGATAAGCCTCGGCGGCTTCTTGAAGAGCTGCAACAGCGCTGCTTTGAAATCTCGGATCGGTTTTAAAATCTTGAGCGATTTCTCTCACCAGCCTCTGGAAAGGGAGCTTCCTGATCAGAAGCTCAATGCTCTTCTGGTACTTTCTAATTTCTCTCAGCGCAACAGTTTCAGGCCTGAATCGGTGAGGCTTCTTCACTCCTCCGGTCGCCGGTGCTGATTTCCGAGCGGCCTTCGTAGCTAGCTGCTTACGTGGAGCCTTGCCGCCAGGTGATTTCCTGATCAGAGGACTTAACCAAACAATACCATATTGTCAGGAATCATTTGTTCGCTTTATCCAAAATTTTAATATTGAATTTTAGTTGCTTTCTTTTTTTCTTATGTTTTTTTTTCTAATTTTTTTTTATTTTTTATTGTTATTGACTATATTAATATTAGTCTTGAATTGATTGTCAACCATTTATTTTTATTGTTCTTCTCATTTTTCTCCTTTAATTTGAGTTATATTATCTTTCGTTTAATTAATATTTTTTTGGTGTGAAAATAAATTACGATTTTTATCAGCTCTTGTAGCATGTCTTTTGTATGCTCTTATAACATATGTTTTTTTCATGATTAGACTTAATATTGATTATCTAACCTAATTGATACTTATTTTGATTATCTTATTGATCTATTTTTGTTTTGGATACTCAATTTAAATGGATAAATACTCTCAATCACCGAAGATAGGTCATGATTAAGTTGTGATAATGTTAGTTTGCTTGTATTCATTATTTGTTCCGGTTGCTAGATTATTATTTTTTAACTATTTTCTTGTTTGATCCTTGTTCTATTCTTAGATAGATAATTTATGTGCTTTGATGATTTAAAGAGAAATATTTGACTTATTTAATAGGAATTTTCTGCATACACAATGACTTAAACTCAAGACTTGTTTTAATTATATGAAGTTGCTTAGCACCTGAATGAGTTTCATTAATAAAAATATTTTGAAATATTGAAAATTCAAATTATAAAGTTAACATATAATTGTTAAAAAATATTAATAAAATTTATTATTTCTCACAGTAAAGATAATAATTATTTTTCAAAACCTATCTATTAATATATATTTTAATCACCACCAATCATTCTTTGTCCCATCGGATCTTTAAGATTCTCTGAACTTGCGTGTACTATTCGGGTTTGTCATATTCCTAACAGGAATAGTTGGGAAACTGGGATGTTCCCAAACACAGTAAGTGACAAGCGAACCACGTGTGATCCAACGCTGGGATGTCACTTATTAATGGCTGGAAATTCTCAATAAATATGTGTTTTCTTCTTCTTTCTCTATATTTTTTGAGGACGAAAATTAAAGTGTTTATTTTATAATTAAATGATTGAAAATAATAATCTATAAAGGAAAAAGACATGTCAATTTCAATGTACGAAAAAAGACACGTGTAAGTGCCATATAATTGGAAACACATAAAAATCTTTCTTTTATTAATATTGAGTAAATTACACTGCATTTCACTCAATTATTAATAAAATCATAAATGGATCATTTTATTTTAAAAACATTACGAATAAGTCACTCAACTAATTGATTATAATAAATATTTAAGTCTATTGTTAAAAGTAAAAAATATAAATTAAAATTTTAATTATAACCAGATCACCCAATTCTAACTAAAAACAATGTGCATTATACACTTAACAATATAATAACAAATTTATTTGTTACAATCAATTAGGGGAGAGCAAAACTTAATTTGACTAAAAAATTTGAATTTTCAACTCAACTCGATGCTAAAAAAACTTGACTTGACTCATAATTTCTTAAACTATTATCAACTAAAAAAAATCAAATTCGAGTCAAGTTATAAGATATAACTCAAATAACTTGAATAACTAAAAAATTTAATAATTAATGGATTGATTTTCAAATTTGAGCGAGTCTGTCAATTATGTATAATATGTGTATACCACATATGAAAAAAATAAATTATATATGTAGATTGGATATGGTTATATAAATTTTTTTAAGTTAGAATCAAATAGTATTATAAATATTACAAATAAGTTTAAACAAAAACTCGAATAAATCAATCCAAATTTCATAAATTATACTAAAAAGTTAAATAAAGTTTGATTTTTTAAACAAGACTCGTCAACTCGACTAACTCAAAAAAGGTTGACTTGACTTGGCTCCATCGAATGCTCACCCCTATAATCAATAATAGTATTGTCTATTTAAAAAATTTCAAAATACAATACCTTAATTATAATCTTACTATTAATTAATTGACATGTGGTGTAATTATCCTTAGTGTCGTATCATCTTTTTCTAATTGAGGCTTTGGGTTTTATATTCATCGATGATGACAAACGTTGCGCTTTGTTTTCAGGGAACACTGCTGGCTACACAACTTTCGGTAACCAATGATTTTTATTTTTATGAATTGCCGAAACTGTCCTTTTTCACTATATTTCTGTTCGAACTCCACTTTTTTTTCACTATTAAAGTACGATTTTCTTAAAAAATGGGATAATTTTTTGATGAAAGTTAAATTTTTTAAAATTTAATTATTATTATTTTAAATAAATAATTTTTTTATAAAATATATATTTAAAATTACTTGATTTAAGGTTTCTAAAATATACTTTTCATATTTTATAATAGTAAATTTAAAAAATAATGAATCAAAATTTAAAAATTTTAACAATAAAAAATGAATAAGGGATATATTTAATGTGATAGGGAGAGTAGTATTTATGATCTCAGAATAAATTGAGTAAAAATATAAATTATTATTAGATTGTAAAGCCCAAATAACTAGTGTGTGAGCCGTTTGGTTAGTCACCCTATCTACATATACATTTCATTAAAAGAAAAATAGATTAAAGAAGTATTATTGTTTGGGAGAATCAAACTAGGGACTACGACTGACTTCGGACACGTGTCAACCATTAAAATAAACTCATATTTATTATTAGATTGCAAAAATTTTTTATGTATCATCTTATTTTATGACATAAAAAATAAATAATAAGGAAATAATAGAATTCAAATATGGGACTCAAACTTGAAGTACTTTTAATTATCAGGGTAAACAATACTTATAATATTATATATATATATATATATATTCTATGAATTAATCCGTCAATAGATCAAAGAAGATGATTATACTAAAAAATAAAATAAAAATATAAAAAAATTAATTAAAAAATAAGTGTTCAAATTATATCTCTTGTTCACTTTACGTGCTTAAAGTTATTTTTTTTATCAAAGCGGGTGGCTAACATTTGCTCACTTACCATTTTAAGCGTATGACCTTTAATTGTTATTTAAAAAGTTCGTCAAAAACTTAGTGTTTGACCTAAATTTTAATTTTCTTAAATTTTTAAAAATAAAATTTATAACATTTAAGAGAAACCCTATAGTTTTTATTTCCGAAAAACAACTCAAAATTCATGAAATCCTAACTTTCTAACTAAATTTAGGGATTTAAGAGATTTAGACAATAATAATAAGATGACCGACAATATAGATCCAACAATAGGTGGGTGGGTGTTTGGCGGTGGTGATGACAACCTACGATGAGAAATGATTAAAGTTTAGAGTTTTGAGAGAATTTAGGGAGATTTAAGATTTAAGTATAGAGATTTAAGAGATTAAGGTTACAATCAAGTGGATAACTAACAATGGTGGTTCGACGAATATGTGGATATTCGGTGGTGACCGTTGACAGAGGAATGAATTAGAGATTAAGGATCTTAGTTTTTTTTTAATTTTTTAAAGAAATTTAATAATTTTTAAAATATTAATTTTAAGTTAAAAGATTTTTTTAAAAAAATTATAAACACTAACACATATAATATTTTGGAGCGATTAAAAAATTTATTTTAACGTATATGATAAAATTAACCTTAAAATAATAACTTTAAAAACATAAACATTTATTTTAATAAAAAAATTAAACACATAAAATTAATAAGATGTATAATTTAAGCATTTTTCAGGCATTCAAAAGTATTAAACTTTAAAAAAGAAATTCTAACGACAGGCCCATATCCGTCTTTTCAACAATAAGCATATAATAATTAATTCACCATTGTCCTAATAAATAAATATATTATCAAACTTTCCACAAAATTACAATTATATGCCCACATCCGTCTTTTCCTTTTAAAACAAAATTTCTCAATTACTGTTCCTTCTCTGAGTCCTCCCCTTATATATGAAACTACCCTTGCCCAAAACTCTCACTTCTTTCAAATTTCGGATATAAGCTCTAAGCATTCAAAACATATATAAACACCACAAAATCGACGTTGACAATAACAATAATTATTGTTCAGTAGGGTCAAGCAAAGTTGACAAAGAACTCATCTCTATCCCTCACACGTGCATAAACACAGAAACAAATGCCGCCCAAGTGCACCGCACGTGCAGGATGGTACTCGAATTATGTGATAGATCTAAAAATATTTTTGAGAATAAGAACACACATATATAAATAGTTTAAGTGATTACAAGCTAGTATATATAGAATATTTCTTAATAATTGACAACGTACACAGATCATGTAGACGTAGCTGCTTAAATTCATGATTTCTAAGAAAAATAATACTCTCTTTTATCATTGAGATCGCTTGAGGATTCATACACATGTATTAACACCACAAAATGGGTAAATACAAATAAATTTTAAAGTGAGTACAATCAATACATAAATAACCAACAACAGAAAATTTAGATTTTAGGATATATACTTGCCTATCTTAAACATAAGGTGAATCCGCTACAGCTCGAGCTTCACACGTGCGATTGAATTATATGCACGCGTACCAACAGACACCACTCAAGAAACTGATCAAACCCACCGGCCATTGCTGCCACATGGTTCATGAAAAGAGACTTTCCACTTCATGTAAGGCCAAATGCGACCCATAACTAGACAATACCCTCCCTCCCATGGGACCCCTTTCCCTTCCCTCTTCCACTATCAATTCAAGGATTTGTATAATCTCAGTTGGCTTGTTTTTTCTCAGGCATATGCCACAGAATCCACAACCACCCCCATATTGTTTACATGATCTTTTGGCCACTTGTTTCCAGGAATGGTATGCGGTCGCCCTAAAATTTTTAAATTATTTTATATTTTAGATATTATTTTATTAAAATTTTATTTTTATTCTTCTGAAAATTGTATAATTTTTTTATTCTTGAAATTTTATAAATTCATCATTTTTAATATAAAATCTTACATCCGTCACTAGTTGTGCGTATTTAGAAATGCTCCTGTAAAGGAAAACAATAACATGGGAAAGGACTAGTTTCAGTTGTTGTTCCAACATGCCATGTAGTTAGTTCCCCCCTCAATTATGGTTGAAAGCATGGGCACTTAGTTCAAACTTGAATGTCAAACAATAATATTCCCACTTTTTCAAAATTTTAATCAGTGCCAAGAAATGATTTTTTTTAATAATGCCCAAAAAGAGTTCACCAGTTAGTGTAACCAAGGGTGTCTGTATGCCATAAATTCAACCAAATGAATGATTCTCCATTATGTTTGAAATGGGAAAATTTGAAGAAAACAAGAGACATGCCACTTTACCAGGAGGACTTCCAATAAATGTATGGCAGCTTTAATCCAAGTTAAGTGCTTAACGCGGTTTAAACTTTTTGGCTACATTTCAAATCTAATTTTTTTTTACTTCCTTTGATTCACTGGTGTAAAAGTATTTTCTTCCAAATATAAATAGTGAAGAGGCCAAAAGTAAAGAGAAAAGCAATATGTTTCGATTTTACGATGATCACAAAATAGAGATTATAAATTAGACCAAGATAACATCGAAGTTTTAATTTCAATTTTATTAGTTTTGAAGAGAATCAAACTAAGTAGAAAAAATACGAGAGAAAGAAAAAGTTTTGATACCATCTAGTTCACAAACAATGGTTGATGTTACCATATAGAGTGATAACAACAAGTAATCACGTATAAACAATGACAACGAAAAAAGAGAAAGAAAATAAGACGTCAATATTTACGTGAAAATTTATAACAGGAAAATCACAGACAAATAAGAAGAATTTTTATCACGGCGAGAAAGAGATTACAATAGATACGACTATATGCGATTGAAGGGTTAATAAACTCACATCTAACCTCTGGTTCATATGATCGGTTTATAAGGTTTGAAGAGGTTATCTTCATCACAAAGGTTATCTATAATTCCAATAAAATATGTTTCCAAATTATGTTATTTTAAATTGATCATCAAATTTGAAATATTTCAATTTCATTCTCAAATTATGGTTCTTATTTTAATTTAGTCTTTAAACTTTTGAAAATTTCAATTTCATCCTCAAACTATGCCCCTAATTCTAAATTGGTCAACAAACTATTAAATCTTCTAATTTCACCCCTAAATTCATCCAAATATGTAATTAGTTTCAAGTTTCAACCATGGTTTAACCTAAATTTTATTTTGTCAAACATATAATAACATAGCTTGGCCTAACAATTCTATAAACAAGATATGTGATTAATACATAATGATAGTTTGGGATGAAATTGAAATGTTTAAAAGTTTAGGACCAATTTAAAATGAGGATCATAATTTGAGGATAAAATAGAAATATTTAAAATTTAGAAACCAATTTAGAATAAGAATCATAGTTCGAGGGTGTGTGATCAATTAATTCCTATACATTTATAAGGTTACTTACCGATAAGAAAACATCTAATATTATACGGAGTCTTTATATGATTTCTTTTCTTTCGGTCAAAAACTAATAAGAGAAGTATAGTCCTATACGGATCGAGTGTGCACGTTAAGGATTATCATTTTACATTTAATTTATATATATAATTTAAATATTTATAAGATAATTCTGAATTATCCTTTATTTTTAAAAAAGTTGTACTTTACCCCTCTCAAGTTGAGAATTGAGATCCTATCTCTGCGTATCTCTTAGTTTATTTCTTGACTTGCCTTTTAGTTTACATGCGTAAAAGCAGTGCTTAATAAACAACAATATCATAATAACTGGCTAATGCTGAAAGATTTTCCCCCCATGCACACAGCTTTGGATCAGATTGTTTTAATGAGATTCGCTACTTAAAGTTTGTTGGATATATAATAATTGATACTTCTCTTTTTCAGCATTTATGATTAAATTGTAATGCCAAACAAGTCGTGTTTAATGCGAATGGTTTCACAAAGCTGTAGTAAATGAAGCCATTTCACGATTATTGTTTGATTTATAAATAGAATATTTGGGTTTAAAACATCATCAATAGAATTTTTAAATATGAAAAATCATGTATACAGGTAAAGTATGTAAGCACTTCTTTATGCAAAGAGTTGAACAAGAACGGAAGTTTTTATGAGCATGAGAGTTTTAATTTCACTTAAACATAATTCCCTCTCTAAATGTAATTACTTGAAATGTCTTTATTAAGGCTTATGGCATGCATGACAAGGGAGCAGAAGCCTTGTAGTTGTTCAACCATATGGTCAAGGAAGTCAAGCCTAATAACGTAACTTGTATTGCTATACTTGTAGCATGTAGTCACTAGGGGATGGTAAGTGAAGGCCTTGTTGTAAAATAATAGATTTTTTTGAGATTTTGAGGCATATTATTTATCGATAAATTATAAATTTAAATAATAAAATCATAGTTTTGTATTCGATTTTTATGATACATGTACAACGGTGTATAATATGTTTGAAATGATAGAGTGATAAATGATAAATTAATGTTTAAAGTAAACCATATATGAATACTGTTGATGAAAATTTAATATCTTAAAACATTTTCATCTCATACGAGAATAATATGAAATTTGGAAAGTATTTATAAGATAAAACCAATTTGTTACCAAGTGTGCAAGCCAAAAAGCTCTATCTTGTGCGTAGGCGCAGGGTGTAAATCAATCTCAATTGCAGTTAATAAGAGTAAATCCATACAATATAAAACTATCTTTATTGTATTTCAGAAGATATACATCCAATATTCTCAAACGCCAATATAAGGATTAAATTTGTCTTCTTTATATAAATCTCAACAAATCCTTTTACCAGTTACCAATTCCACGTGAATTATTTTATACATTTGGAGTCATCACCCTACTATCAAATATCCTATACTCAAGTGAACCTTGAGAGATTCGGAGATTTCTTTCCGAAAACTCCTCATTTTCTGTTTTAGATTGACATCTTTTTACAATAATATTATTCATTTTTAATTATTATCATATTATTGCTTATTTATTTCTAAGTTCAATAACAAGCATGAACATGTTTTAGAAGATGAAGGATGGGCATGGGGTCTATCCTACACCGGATCACTATGCTTGCATCGTCGATATGCTTGGTCGAGCAGATCAAGTTGAGGAAGCACATCAATTGATCAATGACATACCTTCCGAATTGGGCAAGGCTTGTGCTTGGAGTAGTTTGCTCGGTGCCTATCGGATCCACCAAGAAGACGAAATCGGGGAAATTACAGATATCGGAAAATGATGAAAGAAATGGGCTAAAGATGATAAAATGGTTGATATCTGGAATTTCCAAACACAAATCCAAGGAAAAAAGTTTGAATGGTCGATCAAAATATAAAATAATACATCCAAATTCCAACGAGTTACATCAACAATTCCGGAGAAAGCAAATTATGATCAGAAGTCCTCTAATTTCAGTCATTCTATTAACTAAAAACAAAGCAAACATGCTACTCACTCTAGTCCTCCTAGCAAGCTGGATATCCTTCGGCATAATCGTAACCCTCTTAGCATGAATAGCGCAGAGATTAATGCCATCAAACAATCCGACGAGATAAGCCTCGGCGGCTTCTTGAAGAGCTGCAACAGCGCTGCTTTGAAATCTCGGATCGGTTTTAAAATCTTGAGCGATTTCTCTCACCAGCCTCTGGAAAGGGAGCTTCCTGATCAGAAGCTCAATGCTCTTCTGGTACTTTCTAATTTCTCTCAGCGCAACAGTTTCAGGCCTGAATCGGTGAGGCTTCTTCACTCCTCCGGTCGCCGGTGCTGATTTCCGAGCGGCCTTCGTAGCTAGCTGCTTACGTGGAGCCTTGCCGCCAGGTGATTTCCTGATCAGAGGACTTAACCAAACAATACCTTATTGTCAGGAATCATTTATTCGCTTTATCCAAAATTTTAATATTGAATTTTAGTTGCTTTCTTTTTTTTATTGTTTGTTTTTCTAATTTTCTTATATTTTTTTATTGTTAATGACTATATTAATATCAGTCTTGAATTGATTGTCAACCATTTACTTTTATTGTTCTTCTCATTTCTCTCCTTTAATTTGAGTTATATTATCTTTCGTTTAATTAATCTTTTTTTTTTGTATGAAATAACATATGATTTTATCGGCTCTTGTAGCATGTCTTTTGTATGCTCTTATAGCATATTTTTTTCATGATTAGATTTAACATTGATTATCTGACCTAAATGATACTTATTTTGATTATTTTATTGATCTATTTTTGTTTTGGATACTCAATTTAAATGGATAAATACTCTCAATCACCGAAGATAGGTCATGATTAAGTTGTGATAATGTCAGTTTGTTTGTATTTATTATTTGTTCCGGTTGCTTGATTATTTTTTTAACTATTTTCTTGTTTGATACTTGTTCTATTCTTAGATAGCTAATTTATGTGCTTTGATGATTTTTAAATAGTTTTTTTAAAACATTTTCTTTTTATTTATTAAAATTAATTATTTTTATTAAAAATTAAAAGCAATTTTTATTTAATTTAAAAAATCAATCGTTAATCTTAATAAAAAAATATTTTGAAATATTTTATTTGGCTACCCTCCTGGTTTTCAAGATTTCGTCCTGATTAATCTAAACTGATTTGGGTCGTTCATCTGAGTTTGGTGGGTGAGTCTCCTAATCATGATTTTCTACATATAAAATGACTCAAACTAAAGACTTGCTTTAATTATATGAAACTGCTTATCACTTGAATCAATTTCATTAATAAAAATATTTTGAAATATTGAAAATTCAAATTATAAACTAAACATATAATTGTTAAAAAATATTAATAAAATTTATTATTTCTCACAGTAAAGATAATAATTATTTTTCAAAACCTATCTATTAATATATATTTTAATCACCACCAATCATTCTTTGTCCCATCGGATCTTTAAGATTCTCTGAACTTGCGTGTACTATTCGGGTTTGTCATATTCCTAACAGGAATAGTTGGGAAACTGGGATGTTCCCAAACACAGTAAGTGACAAGCGAACACGTGTGATCCAACGCTGGGATGTCACTTATTAATGGCTGGAAATTCTCAATAAATATGTGTTTTCTTCTTCTTTCTCTATATTTTTTGAGGACGAAAATTAAAGTGTTTATTTTATAATTAAATGATTGAAAATAATAATCTATAAAAGAAAAAGACATGTCAATTTCAATGTACGAAAAAAGACACGTGTAAGTGCCATATAATTGGAAACACATAAAAATCTTTCTTTTATTAATATTGAGTAAATTACACTGCATTCACTCAATTATTAATAAAATCATAAATGGATCATTTTATTTAAAAACATTACGAATAAGTCACTCAACTAATTGATTATAATAAATATTTAAGTCTATTGTTAAAAGTAAAAAATATAAATTAAAATTTTAATTATAATCAGATCACCCAATTCTAACTAAAAACAATGTGCATTACACACTTAACAATATAATAACAAATTTATTTGTTACAATCAATTAGGGGAGAGCAAAACTTAATTTGACTAAAAAATTTGAATTTTCAACTAAACTCGATGCTAAAAAAACTTGACTTGACTCGTAATTTCTTAAACTATTATCAACTAAAAAAAATCAAATTCGAGTCAAGTTATAAGATATAACTCAAATAACTTGAATAACTAAAAAATTTAATAATTAATGGATTGTTTCAAATTTGAGCGAGTCTGTCAATTATGTATAATATATATATACCACATATGAAAAAATATAAAATATATATGTAGATTGGATATGGTTATATAATTTTTTTTAAGTTAGAATCAAATAGTATTATAAAATTATAAATATTTACAAATAAGTTTAAACAAAAACTCGAATAAATCAATCC